AGCCTTTAAGACCCCAGATGCTATATCTTTTGATAGCCAGACACCATCAGCTTTCTTCACCACATTTGCTTATGCACACGTTTGCCTTCAGTGATTGTGTCAGTATAGCGGGCATCCACTGATACGAATTTAAGTTCTTTAATGTCTGATAACTGATCCCTTCTACACCTCGTGGTCAGACAGGTTGGTGTGCTTCCAGCCTGGACTTCTTAAGAGCTGGGGCAGCTGCCCACTGAGGGGAGCCAGGCTTGACCTGAAAGCTGAAAGTTGGGTCCAAATGATTGGATGACAGCTCTCTCCACAGATGGCTAAGACTAGCCTTGTGTGGGCCACTAGATAGATGCCCAGAACTTTCTCTCTCTCTCTCTGTAAAGATCCTGGCTCCTGAGCATGCACCTCTCTGTGGCCTTAGGTCGGGCAGGTGGTGCCCACGTGGCTCACGTGTCCGTGGTCTCTCCCCCTGACTCAGGACAACCAGGACCGTGAGCAGCAGGAGCTGAGGCAAGTACAGCGGCTGCGGGAGCTGGAGAGGAAGCGCCGTACCTGGGCAACGGGCGAGCTGGGAGGCTTCGGCCGGAGCAGCAGTGAGAATGATGTGGAGTTGCTGACCAAGAAGGGCGCCGAGGACCTGCCTCCTTTCCTGCAGTCCAGACCCATCAGCCCGTCCTACCGGCCCCCCAACACCCGCCGCTCTCGCCTCTCCCTGGGCACCTCTGCCGACCGCGAGCTGCTCACCTTCCTGGAGAGCACCACGGGCTGTCCCGAGGAGCTGACCCGCTTCAACACCCTGCCCCGGAGCAGCGGCCGGCAGGCCCCACCCAAAGTCCCCTGGGTAGAGCCTGGGGACCGCCACCCCAACCGTGCATATGGACCCCAGGCCTCGGAGGAGGCCTTGGAGGAGGCCGGCAGCCTGCCCTCCACGTGGCAGAGCCAGCGCACAGCCTGGCATTTGCAGGACGCCAGCACTACCTTCCCTCTAGCGCGGCGCGGTGGGGTCAGTGTCCTTCTTAAGAGGAACAGCGAGCCCCTGGGGCTGGGGCCGAACCCAAGCAGGTCACCTCCGCTCTCACCACTGGTTCTAGGGATTGAGGAGCATGAGCTGGTGACCGGGCTGGCCCAGTTTAACCTTCAGGTTCCCAAGGGCCCAGAGGAGATGCCGCAGGCGGCCCTGAATGGTGGCAGCCCTGGCGGCAGCCCTGGGGAGCTGGCATCTCTGTGCAACGGGAACCTGCAGGCTCAAGATGCTGGCGGCTGCAGCTTGAGCCCCAGGAGCAGCGTGTTCCAAGAGGAGTGGAGCTCAGCCCTGGAAGCCGCCGGGTCCAGGGAGCATCTGGGCCCAGTTCTGGAAGCTGGGGAGGATGTGGACCCAACCCTGGAAGACTTGCCCTGTGCCCCTGACCCACCCAGCAGTGTGGCTCTGGGGTCTGTGGAGAGCAGTGACTCTGAGAACAAAGATCTTGTGCCTCAGATCTACATCTCAGATACCACTGACTGCTCCCTGACTCTGGACTGCTCAGAGGGGACCGATGCCAGGCCTGGGGATGGGGAGCCAGGGGAGGCTGGGGACCAACATTCCTCTGTGTCCTCTGGGGCTGGGGAGATGGCAGGCCACCAGCTCTCCTCCAACCTTGCTTCCAGCCCGGGCGAAGCAGCCCCCACCCCAGCCTCCCGAAAGAGTGAGCCCAGCTGCAAGGGTGGTCTCCCCAGGGACGGGGTCCCCAAAGGTAAAGATGTGATGGCACCAAAGAGAAGCTCCCTGAAAGAGGCCTCCCTGGGGGCCGCCAAGCCCAGCAGTGGGCGGCGCGGCCTGGGGGCCCTGCCTAAGCCCGTGCGGACCCTGCATGCCACCGAGAACGAGAGCATGCGGAAGGTCGTGCCCATCTCCAAGTCCACCAGAGGCTCTGGGGGCTGGAAGCGGCCCGAGCTACCCTCGCGGGGCACCCCCAGCAGCACGGACACCCCAGTGCGCCGGAACTCTGTGCGTGGGTCCTTGGACCGGAGAGCTTCCTTGGGCAACGTGGTCGCCGTGCGGGAAGAGCAGAAGCCACCACAGGTGGGCAGCAGTGGCCGCCTGGGGAAGGAGTCCCCCTTGCAGCTGCGGAGCTCTTTCAAGAAGCCCAGCGCCAAGCCCCTCAGAAACATGACCCCCAGGCAGAAGCTGGAGGAAAACAAGTTCTGTTGCTCCAACTCCCAGGGCACCGAGAGCCCTGAAGAAGAGCCCAAGATCCCACCGACCCCCAGCTTCCCCAGGACCCCAGCCTCTGTCCCCAGCTTTGCCCGAAATACAGTGGCCTCTGCATCGCGTTCCATGAAAACAGATGCCCTTCATGTGCCCAAAGCCCTCGGCCTCACCCGGACGGTCTCACAGCGGCAGCTGAGGGTCAAGGGCGGCCCCGAGGACACCTCGCCCAAGGACAGTGGCAGCCTGAAGCGGGCCAGTAGCGCCCGGGTTGCCAGGAAGGGCCCCGAGTTGCCTGAGGGACCCATTGCCAACACACAGGCCCCTTTGAAGGGCAGAGGGCAGGGTGAGATGGCCTCCTTCAGACTGAAAGAGTCAAGCCGAACTACGCTGGGGAAAATATGGAATCCCTTGCGGAAATGATGAGCCTCTCCCCTCTCGCCTCCCAGGTCAGAGTGGGAGGGTGGCGGCCATACTGTAGGCCCTGCTTCCACTAGAACCACCCCGTGGTGCCACCTGCTAGCGATCTTGTCCCTGAGGTCCTGTCTGCAGCCTGGAGCTGACTCTAACTGGAAGCCCCGGTCTGATGTGCTCCCTCACTGACGGACCATCACCACCTCCGACCCCACAGTGGTTTGCTGATGTGGGTGTGTATGCAAGGGAGCCCCTGGGCCCCCTGAACAAGGGTCGAATGACAGACCGGGACTCTATGACGACCTTGTTAGGCAATCAGTAAGAAAACACAACAACACTTTTTTGGCCAGTTTTTATATATCGAAGACTTGTTTTTAATATGCAATTAAATGTTTCACTTGATTCCTTTTCCCGAGTAAAATGTTTCTTGGGGACAAGGGAGGGCAACAGGACAAGAAACATTGAATGTGTAGCTAAGTTTTATCTCCCCTGGTTCTCTGCCCACACACCATTGTTGACTTCAGACAAGTGGGCATCCCTGCAAGTCGTTTCCTCGAATGTCTGGCCCACGTGGCTCTGGGTGAAGGTTTGCACATGACCAGGAGGGAAAGTCTGACAGTAGAAGGTGACTGCTCCCTCCTGAGGCAGGCCCCCTGGACAGAGGGGAGAGTGGGTCTCACAGGCCTCCTGGGTGGGGTTTATGATGCCTAAGGCCTCGGCTGCAGCCCGGTAGGTGGTTGGGTTTTCCAGAACTTAGGAGTGCCTATTGCAAACCTCAGAGACGTTGCTACGGCTACAGGGAGGTAGCTCCTCCCCGAGCCTCTGCCCTCTCGGCCTTCTTTCGAATGGGGCTGGTTGACCTGGGAGTCATTCTCTTAACCATGGCTCTTTTCCCGGTATGTGGGTGCCTTTTCCTTGGTGGTCCCCAAACCACACCAGGCATCCTGCCTGGTGGGAACCCTGTGTGTGACAGCCACACGGACATCTTGGTGGCACGAGGTACTAGGTCTTTCTTTTCAAGCACCACTGGCCGGAGTTGTTGAACCGCCAATCTTTTGGTTAGAAAGCAAATCACGTGTCACACTCAGGGACCTGTTCTTGGTAGAATTGTTTTTAAATCCCAAGGAAAGCCACATGATGTTTGCTTTTATAAGGCAAACTCAACAAAATTGCTCTCAGATGAATTTATATTATCAGGGAAAAAATTGGAAAGAAGTCAGGCCTCATTCTGAAAGAAGGGGAGAAATGTACTTTTCCCACTGAATGACTGTTTTACTGCCGCTATTTTCTGAGAATAGTTGGGGAATGGAAGACATTTTGTTGTTGCCATTTTGAAAGTTGTTCTTTTGCCCACTTGGGTATCCCTGGTGGGTTACCTGTCCGTCAATCAGCAGTGAGGTGGACTTAGGTGAGCCCGATGCCTTTGTAATGCACCCAGGTGGTCAAAGCCCTGGTTGCCCTGCTGCTGCAGAATGTTGCCTGCCCTCAGGGTTCATGGGACACTTTGGCGCCAATGTAGATCAAAGGGAAAAGGCACGCTTTTCTGGCTGAAAAAGTGAGGCACCTGTTAGCAAAAACCTCCTGCAGAATAAACGCGAGCAAGTATTTCCACCATGTGAAGAACGGTAAGAACCCATGATTCACCAGGCAGACAAACAGGTTGAACCGGCCGGAGTCCACTCGGAGTGGTGGGAAATGACGAGGGAGACCCTAGGTTTGAGGGCTTGTGGGAGAGTGATGGGGCAGTTTTGCGGAGGCTATGTGACTTTGGCAAGTCGTCTTCTCCACCAGCTTCTGATCCCCAATCTCCAGAAGTGTGGGCACCTGCTCAACCATGGGCTGCGAGCAAGCAGGAGTCCTTGCAGCTCCAGGAGCCCCCCTCATGAGCCCCCCTCTGGCCTGGGGCCAGCTTCTCAGAACCAACCCCCAGCACCTGGAGAGCTGGTACCTTACTGTCAGGCCCACTCAGAAGAAAGTACCTTCAGGATGATGTGTTGTTGTAAAACTATAAAAAGCTCCGTGTCTGAAAAGCGGTATTTGACTTAGTCCACTTCTGTGTGGACTTCATTCTATTACCTTTTCTCGGTAGTAAGCTGCAGGAAAATAAGTTAACTATATAATCGAGACGTGTAAATAAGTTTCATATGCATTTGTTTAAGATGAACTGAATGTATTTAATGGTCCATTTATATGTTCTTTGACGTAACATATTTTAATAAAGTTCCTGTTTATGGGGGTTGCGTTTCATCCTCGGCCTTTCCGGTCGCCACGTTTGTGTGGCCCCGCGTGGAGAGAAGGGGTTATAGGGAGTGCCACATCTGGCCGTCCAGTCCTAAAAGGATTAAGCGTCCAACCCAGACTCTTGGTTTGGTGTCTTGGTTCCATGGAACCTGGGTGAACTGAGGGCTTTGAGGGGAGCCCTGGTGCCCAAGTGGTGGGAATGCAAGCTAACCTTTGACACTCAGGCCTGTGGAAGGCTCAGCCTCGTGCACACTTGATTCCACGGTTGGGGCCAAGCTCGGTGCAATCTCTGGGGCTGGCAAGTCTGGATCTGCTCTCGTGTGTCCTCATGCGTTTTGGCTCAGGACAAGATTGGGAAATCGCAGCTCACCTTGGTGGCTGCCTCAGGAATGCGAAGGAGGGAGCTGTTGTTTTGCTTGGTATGTAACGTTGGCTCTTGAAGTTGGAATTGTGTTTTAAGATATGTCTGCTACCTCAGGGTTTCCATACCAACTTTTATTCTACCTGCTCACCAGCTGTATCTGAGAGGAGATGAGGAGCAGGTCCCTGGGGAGTGATTTCCTGACACCAATGGCCGAGAGTAGGCACGTTCTTGTAAGCTGCCTGTTTCTGGATACGTTAGTCACTGCCACGGAGCCGATGCTGACTCCGAGCCATGCTATAGGGCAGGGTAGAACTGCCCCTGTGAGTTTCTGAGACCGCAACTCTTTAAAAAATTTATTTTATTGAGGGCTCGTACAATTCCCATCACAGTCCATACACACATCTATTGTGTCAAGCACATATGTACATTTGTTGCCCTCATCAATCTCAAAACACCTGCCTTCCACTTTAGCCCTTAATATCATTTGCTCATT